GCTTAGAAGGGACTGGCACACAGATTAGAAGAGGTGTTCTACACACATCACTGACTATTCCTTTAGTCCACTCAAAGGGAGAGGGGAGAAAAGCCACGCTTGTGTTTCTCTTTCTGGAGTCTAGACAGCTGAAGATTAAACTCCCTAAACTATCCCATAGCTCAAGTTCCACTCATAGCCTAACTTCAGCCAAGGTGAGGCACCTTGGGAAACATGGAAGACAGAAGAATTGAGGCAGAGGCTTTACCTGCTTCACCCATTCCCTCTGACAAATTACGTTGTGTTTTTTTTTTTTTTTTTTTTATGGTAGAAGTGGTCTCAGCACCATGGGGGTCAAGAGGCAGGGTCTGGGAAATCCATCCTTCTTGGCAAGGATAAAGGTGGAAGTTAGATGATGTTGGAGGTAGCAGTTGCTGCAGTGGCTTCATCTTGACAAATTCCTTGCCAGGCCTTATCAAGGGTGGTGCTCCAACACTCGTCCCCAAAAGCTTATGGATGATATATCAGGTTTCAGGTCACATTCCACCTCTTCAGAAGGACCTTCATCTGAAGGTCTGGCATGCCAGCTTAGAAGAGGCATTATGGTTGATATGATTGGCTTCACAGGATCTGGAGTTACTTAGGAGACAAGCCACTGGGATGCCTGTGAGGGATTATCTTAATTAGGTTCACTGAGGTAGAAAAGCCACTCTAAAAGTGGGCATCGCCAAAAATTCCCTGGGCTCAGTTCTGGACTGCAAGAAAAGGAGAAAGGGAGCTGACTATGAGCATTCACTGTTTCCTGACTGTGATGCAATGGGTCAGTGATCAACTGCTTCAAGATCTTGCCACTGCGACATCTCACCACAATCGACAGTACTTTTGAACTGTGAACTGAAAGAAACCCTTTCTCCTTTAAGTTACTTTTGCCAGGGCATTTTTTCATCATTACTTTATAAAGAAAAATTATATTTTTATACAAATTAGTTTTATACAATATTTAGAAATATAAGGTGGCTTGCAATATGCTATTTGCAATTCATGTTTTTACCATTAGCCACTACCCTCTTTGTATCCCTCAGATTCCATACTGTCTATTAATAATGTTATCATGGCTTATTTTTTTTTATTTTACAACACCATTCAGTTCAACATAATAGCCACAGATTCCCCTGTTCTCCCCTTCTCGCCTCCCTCTCCCTCTCCCCAGCCCACCCCCCACCAGAGGTGAGTATCCCGGGCCAACCCAGACCCCATCCCTGGGCACCAGCCACTCTGGGAAGACCTGCCCAACTTGGCCCCAGGTTCTGGCCACCGGGCAGGTCCCCTTCTAGCCCCACCGGGAGGGATCCCCTTTTCCAAGCCCCCCGGCAGCCCCTGCAATCTCCGTGCCCTGCCCCCACGCCCATCTGCCCGAGACCCCAGCCACTTCCTGAGACTTAGAGACCGGCCACCAGCTCCCATCCTGCCCCCGACTTCCCTTCTGGACCAGAGTTGGACAAGAGAACTTCCTTTTGGACAAGAGAGAGAGACTTCCTGAATCTGTCAGCTCTTTGTGAAACAAGTACACTGATAAGACCAAGAAGGAACCACAAGGAGATGGGCAGACGTCAAGGCAGAAGTACATACAACAAAATGAAGAGCAATACAGCATCACCAGAACCTAGC